CTCCCCCCAGAGCGCGACGCCCCCCACCGCGGGGAGCGCAGCCGCCACGGGGGGCCCGGGGGCCGCGGCCCCCTCCTCGACGCAGCTCTTCCACTCGGGCACGCGGGCCATCATCTGGGGCATGCAGACCCGCGCTGTGCAGGTGGGTCATCCTGACTCACTTGTGATCTTGGGTCACGGATATTGACCCTGACTCTGACCCTACCCAGAAATATTTGTAATGAAGTCGCTAGTTCGCCACCAAGCGGAAAGCTCGTCAAACATTCGCATCAAATATACAGTGTATATATGATTATTTAAATTAATCAAACTTACTTGACTTATGTATAGAATTATATAGTCATAAAGTAATTTTTCTATTCAATTATATATAGTGCGTGCCGGCTATGATATCCTCTTATAAAGACTACGCGGTCACGAGTACCTATATATATGATGCGTCCCAATGCATCAATATACAGGATATATTTGATGAAACATATACAGGGCATGCTGGACGTTGACAGTAAAGTTGCCGTCTGTTGACAGGGCATGCTGGACGTTGACAGTAAAGTTGCCGTCTGTTGACAGGGCATGCTTATTGACCCTGACCCTACCCAGGGCGGCCATCTTGGGTCACGTATATTGACCCTGACCCTACCCAGAAATATTTTTAATGAAGTCGCCAGTTTGCCAGGCGAAGCGAAAAGCTCGTCAGAAATTCGCATCGAATATACGGGCTATATTGCTTATATGAATTAGTCAAATTAATTAACTTACTTGATTTATGTATAGAATTATATAGGCATAAAGTAATTTTATATTAAGTTATATATAGTGCGTGCTGACTATGATATCCTCTTATAAGGACTATACGGTCACGAGTACCTATATAGATGATACGCCCCTATACCCATCCTTATACTAAATAAATGAAAATAAAAATCCTAGGGCAGTTAAGATTCGAAATCAAAGAACACCCAAGAATCCAAATGAATCCCAAAGGCATCATCATGTATCTAGTACATTCATTGTTAAGGGTAGTATAGGATTTGCTTGTTCATATGGGACTTTTTCTCTAAGTAGATTTACTTTTACTCCATTTGTAAATTAAATGAAAATCTCAATTTTCCATGCTTATCCAGGATTTTATTTACAGTCTGTGTGAAGTGACAAAAATAAGTAAACTTTATATTGANGGGCATGCTGAACGTTGACAGTAAAGTTCCTGTCTGTTGACAGGGCATGTTGGACGTTGACAGTAAAGTTCCTGTTGTTGACAGGGCATGCTGGACGTTGACTGTAAAGTTCCCGTCTGTTGACAGGGCATGCTGGACATTGACAGTAAAGTTGCCGTCTGTTGACAGGGCATGCTGGACGTTGACTGTAAAGTTCCCGTCTGTTGACAGGGCATGCTGGACGTTGACTGTAAAGTTCCCGTCTCTTGACAGGGCATGCTGGACATTGACAGTAAAGTTCCCGTCTGTTGACAGGGCATGCTGGACGTTGACAGTAAAGTTCCCGTCTGTTGACAGGGCATGCTGGACGTTGACAGTAAAGTTCCCGTCTGTTGACAGGGCATGCTGGACGTTGACAGTAAAGTTCCTGTCTGTTGACAGGGCATG